AGTAGCTTATTTTTCTGTTACTCATGCCGTAGATAGAGAAACGGTGGTATTTTCGGAAAATATTTAGAGGCTTTCATACTCTGTGAAAACTTGTACGCTTTTGCTAAAAAGGACGTAACATAAGGCATCCTTAAGAACGCAGTCAAGGCATATTCAGCCCTACCATACAATACAAACTTAATAGCTAAAGATAAAATCATATGCGCTCTTTCTTATTTTTATCCCGAAAATATATTATCGATATAAAGGTTTAAATTTGCCAGTATATTAAATTCAAAATGTGTTGATATCTGCAGTTTTGGAAAAAAATCGGAAAACTATATTTATTTGGCTTAACGGCAAAAATATATAGCTATAATGAAATAGCATATTTTACAAAATAATAATCCATTCAAACGTATGCTCGTTCGTGTGCCCAGTTGGTGATCTGTGGCGCGCGCGGCTTCACCTGTATTGTCCGCGATGGGCCTCAGTGTTATATGATGGGAATGGCAGATTTGGGATTCATACCATCCGACTTGGATAATGGATTGGATTTTCTTGATGGAGATGAAAGCATTATCAATGGAAAAGAAGAAGAAGAAGAGGAAAATAAATGTGCGCGTCATCCTGTGATACTGGTAATCCTTAATTGTCTATTATTATAGCATAGGCTGACATCAAAACTCATCTGGAAGAAGAGTAATCTATAGAATATTTTCTTAATACTTGACTAGCTGTCGCATTGGAACTGACTCTTTTGATATATGCGAGCAAACTGTAAATCCTTATGCCAAAGTCACACCAGATGATTTTAAAATTTTGCGTGTGATTGGAAAAGGAGGTTATGCGACTGTAAATTGTTATTATTATTCTATTTTAAAGGTGTTTCTTGTTCAGAAGACTGACTTCGGAGGCAAGGATAAGTTGTATGCTATGAAGGTCTTAAAAAAAGCTCGGCTAATTTGCAATGAGAAAGACAAAGCACACACCGTATCCGAAAGAAACATACTCAAAACACTAAAGGCATCAGTTACATTTTTTTTAATTTTCAGCATCCATTTTTGGTCAAGTTACACTACGCGTTTCAAAACAGCTCAAACTTGTACATTGTTTTAGAGTACTGCCCTGGTGGGGAGTTATTTAATTACATGGAGCGTGAGGGAACATTAATGGAGAATTCTGCTTGGTATTCATTACTTTAAATTTATTTTTAGTTTTTATATTTCTGAGATTGCTTTGGCAATTGGTCACCTCCACTCATTGGGCATAATTTATAGAGACCTAAAGCCGGAGAATATATTGCTTGACCAGTTGGGTCACGTGAAGTTAACAGATTTCGGTCTTTCAAAAGAAGGTGTTTGCATGACAAATACATTCTGTGGTACAATTGAATACATGTAAATACATCCTTCATTCTTACGATGTAGGGCGCCGGAAATTATAAGGTGTGAGGGGCATGGGAAAGCCGTTGATTGGTGGAGCTTGGGTACACTTCTTTTTGATATGCTTTCAGGCGGGGTATGTTTTCTATAAATTAAATCATATTTTACATAGCCCCCCTTTAATGAAGAGGATAGCAAACAAGCTACTGCCGAAAAGGTAATATTGTTTATTTGCCATGTGCGTAGATTCTTGGAGGAAATGTTCGTTTCCCTCCAACTTTTTCTCCAGAAGCAGTTAGCCTCATTAGAGGCCTTTTACGTCGTAACCCGAAAGAAAGATTAGGAAGCAAATATGATGTTGAAGAGATTAAAAGACATAAGTTCTTCAAGGCATATGTAAGTAAATTTACTGCGTCTCCTGTATTTTGTAGTCTTTACTTTCATGATGCTTTTTTTATTCAAGTAAATATTTAAATTATTTATAGGATATAAGCTGGGACGATGTCTACTATCGTCGGCTAGAGGCACCATTTAAGCCTCAGCTTTCTTCTGATACCGACGTTTCTATGTTTCATCCAACTTTTACTGGCCTCCAACCCGTAGTTAGCCCTCCAGATCCTCGTTCGATTCCTCCTGATTTATTCCAGGTGATTTATTTTTTCACTATCTAAAAAACCCCTATGGTGACATCTTTCGTTTATTGATTTCTTGCATTCCTAACCTAGCTTTGTCTTTAATATTGGAGAATGTACAAGTCTCTCCAGACCAATC